GGTGAAGAATTTCTTCCTAATGTCCAGCCTAAACCTGCCCTGTTGCAACTTGCAACCATTCCCCCTGGTTCTGTCTCTGATTACCTGTGAGAAGAGACCAGCACCAACCTCTCTACAATGTCCTGTCAAGTAACTGTAGAGCATGATGAGATCCCCCTCAGCCTCCTCTTTGTCAAACTGAACAGACCCAGCTCCCTCAATCGCTCCTCATAAGGGAGGACCTGCATTACTTAAGCCGGTTTGTTTAGCGCCAGCCCAGCAGTCTCAGGGGCACAGCGCTTCACAGCAAAGGTCAGCCATGAACTCGTGCAAATGGTTAGAAGACTCATCGCTTGTGTCTGAATGAAACTGTAACATGAGCAAGTGGTTCCAGAGGCATCTTTTATAGTGGAAAACTCCAGAGATCAAGAGACAAAGCTGCACTGCATTCCTCACATATCCCACGAGTGCCTGTGAGCAGCAAAAGCTGCTGCCCTGTCTCAACGCAGAGCTAAACGCAGCTCCGGGTCATCTGTGATTCCGTGTGATCTCCTGCCCTGCAACAGCTCCATCTCACGGCAAAGGGAAAGACAGCAGAGGTGAACCACTTCCTAAATTCAAGTATTGGGAGAAACTCCAGCAAGCTCCTGGAGCACATCCCTCTTTCTCCTCCCTTTTCACTGCAGTTCAGCCTCTCAGCTTCTCTTATTTGTGATAGAGTTGAGCTTATTTCACATCAGACACACAGACCGATACAAGCCACCAAAATTGAGTTCATAGCAGGACTGTGCATCTTTTACTGCCGAAATGTCAGCCTTGTAAAGCTTTTGGTCTCATTTCTCCTGTGTTTGTATAGGGAAAAAAGATGCACCTCTTTGCAGAGAGAGAGGAAGCGTGGTTACAGTACCACCAGCAGTTTAATTGTTCGTTACTGCTTTGCCTTTTGTCCAACAATACATCCACGGAGCAGGCTTTGAAAAACCAACCAGAAAACAAGCCCTGGAGCTGAAACAGCATGCTGCAAGGCCAGCAGCCCATCTGCCCCATAGCAGCATTGCCACTGATTGCTAAGGGGGCAGCAGATGCAACTAACAGAAGGTGAGGAAGACTTCTTCAGAAATAGCTCCAGGAGCTTGGAATTGCCTTGTAAAGCCCAGAGTATCCTCTACAGATTTCTACAAGTAACACACAAAAAAGATTTAAATATTTCTGTTGGCAATTAGTTTCCATTAATCTCTTGGGCAAAGCAGAAAGCAAGAGAGATGAGGAAAACGCTCCATACAGAAGTTTCCGAGGGTTTCTTCTAGACAAGAAGTGAGGCCTTCAGCTACGTGCGATGCCCTGACAAACAAACTCACAGACACCAGTATCTGACTGCCAGAAAACAGAAGGATGCACCACTAGCTGAAAATCAGGCAGGCACAAGCAGCTACTCATGGGCAATGCAACGGAGGTTACGTGAACAGGCTAGGGAAAAAGAAGATGAACCTGCCCGCTCTAACCCACATCGGAGATGGGTTTAAAGATTTCCTCCAGCTAGGGGACTGGCAGCCTGCTGCAAAATCACAAAAATGGACGTACTTATTCTTCTAAGGCAAGCAGACACAAGCACACACAGCTACATACAGGCCTGACTCCTGCTGCTTTGAGACCAGTGGATTCTGCTTCCTTATTCACAGACTCGCGATCTGAAGATCTCCCGCTGGCCAGACTGTCCAGGGAGTGGCAGGACGTTGCGTTGTACAAAGCTTCATACGGGCTCTCCTCTTCCGGGTTCACATCAAAATCTATGATCAACTCTGTCACTGCTTTCTCCACATCACCTGCGAGAGGAAGAGAGAGACAAATAATAAGTCACTTGGGGCTCCTGCCCTCAGAAAGTCAGTGCTCACAGGAGGAAAAAAGCCACGTCGCATGGAAGCCTACCCTGAGACACCCGGCACACAGGATCAGTGGCTGGAACAAGCGGTGCTTGAACAGTCTTCTCTGCAGTTTTGGCACTTTTCTTCCCCACCGTGTAATCTGCAATGAGGTGGGGCAACAGGGTCAGCTCATGTCAACCTACTTTTACATCCACTTCAGCGTATGGTACTTCCTCTCTTGTGGATGGAAAAACAACTGTCATCTTATTCAGCCTCCAAAAAATAACCGAAGTACATTATTAAAACTTGCAGCTCAGATTCCAAAACATAAGCGGGCGGCCTCTTTAATCAGATGCGTAAGGTTAAGGAAGGGTGGTTCTTTGAACTTTTACAGTCTTTAATCGCAAATTTTCATGGAGCAGAGATGTAGTCCAGTCTTCTGGGGTTGTAAGGCAGCAAAGAAACTAATCCTAGCTGTGGTCCCCTAAGCACAGGCAAAGCTAGAATCATTCAGCTTACATGAATAAAGTCAGACTGCAACATCTCACACAGCTAGCTCGCTCACAGGAGCAAAAGGAACAGCATTTACCTGCAAGAACTTCAGTTTTAAAACCCATCTTAGTCTTCCATTTCAGGCTAGAGACAATACCTACCAGCCTCACAGGCAAAGCTTAATTAAAGGTCTGAAAAGTGCTTTGAACCTGCAAAGCTCTGAAACGCTAAGCATGAATAACGCACACCAGTGGCATATTCTTCTGATCTTTCTCCCCACAGCTGAGAGGAAATTGAGACAGCATAATTACAAGGTATGAATTTAGCTAAGACGCCACTTTTCGTTCCCTAACTTGGACAGACACAATGGGCCAAGCTCCTTTATAGACCACAAGTAATCAAGGCCTCTTCTGTAAATCTCATCTGTGAAATCTATGCCCAAGCTTCACAATGAACTGAAGAGTAGGATGTGAGATCCATGGACAACTATTCATCTACTCAGACACATAAAGGATAGCTAATCCAAAACCATTTCTAAAGCTATTACTTTGCGTTCTGCAAGCAGATTTAGCCTATCCCTAATTTTAATTAACTTCTACAGTGAGTTAAACTAAGCTCAATTAAGCCCATTTAAACTGTAAATGTCATGCCACATTCCTTCAGCAGAGGAGCTAATCCACCAAAACACCCCTCCTGGAAGCCCCCCTGCAAACATTTGGTCTGGAGACAGTTCACCCAAGCGTTTAGCATCATTCCTTCCAACGCCTGCAAGACTCTCCTCGAGGAACCTGACCTTTGCTTTCAGCAATTTCCAGAACTAGAGACCAAATTCTTGTGCTTGCTCCAGCACAATTAGCCCCCCGAACCTTTCCCTCCTGCCCATGCACATCACTTACCTTCAATAAGAGCTGCTATGTGTTGGCTTTTCTGAGAAGGAAGTTCCCTCACAATATCCAGAGCTGTCAGGCCTCTGTTGTCCTTTATGTTCACGTCAATACCTGTGGCAGTAGGTGAAACAAAAGCAAGAATATTTCCTAACTGTAGGCAAAGTCACATCTTTCATCAAGTTAGATTTGTGATCATCGCTGGGGGGAGCTAAAAAAAACACTCTAGAGGGGCAGACTTAAAGCTAAAAATGAGAGATAATCTCTCCTATAATGTCTCTGAGGAGCTTTGATAGCTGTTGGAGAAACATGCTGCCACTATAAAGGGGTTTCCTCAAGTTCTGGGTGAAGGGATCAGCACGTTACTGCTTCAGAAGGGAATCATTCTCTCACCTGCAGCCAGCAATATTTGTACCACATCTGTCTTGCCAAACAAAGCAGCTTCGTGCAAAGCACTGCCTTTTTCAGTCTGCAAATTAAATGGAAAAACAGCATGAAGCTGGACAGTGGGGAATGGTGATGAAGGCATATTTCAGAAGGTTACAGAAGCAGTAAATATACAGCATGATACACAAAGCGTGGGCAACCGTATCTACAACTGAGGGCAGACTGTCAATATTATTACAAGGCTGAGAATTTGGAATGGAAAATGGGGATGGTCTCTTCAGAGAGACGTGCAGGCCCAGGTTAGAATCCAAGAAAGGACTTTCTGCAGCTTAGCGAGAGCTCCTGTCCTGAAAAGGAACGACAGGACCACCACATACAAGCTATTGCTGTGAAACCAGCACATTCTCAAGTGGCTTGATAGGAAGAGACACAATTTGCCTCCATCGCTATCAAGAGCTCAGAGCATCGCAGGGCAGAGCAGCTCAGGCAAAGGGGTTTCTTTTCTCCCTCACTATGTGTCTGGGGCTCTCCTCTCTATCGCAAGCAGCAGGCGTGAAGCATGCACAGCACCAAAATCCCTCTGAGCAGCTTCTCGGAGCAACCAAGAGCTGAACAAACAGCCCAGAGGAGAAAAAAAACATCGCTTGTCTTTCATAAATGATCCCTCTGGGAGGAGGGTTAGGAGGAGCTTTCCATGCCACAACTACGGGGGTTCTCCGTCCCCCAGCAACCTGAGCAGTCCTTCACACACAGACACCCCAGGTACCTGGTAGTTGCTATCCATGCCAGCATCCAGGAGGACATGGACAACAGTTTTGTGACCATTCCTCGCCGCCAAGTGCAGGGGAGTGTGTTTCTTAGTGTTGCAGCTTAAAAGATTGGGGTGAGCGTTCAAGAGCATCTTCACGACTTCCAGCCTCCCGTAGAGCGCGGCCAGGTCCAGAGGAGTCTCAAACTTGTTATTGCGCATGGTGGGGTCGGTCAGCTCCTCCAGCAGGACCTTCACCACCTCCGTGTGGCCGTACTGGGCAGCACAGTGCAGCGCTGTTTCGTTGTCGTTGTTCTGGAGGGGGTCACAAACGCCAGCACGTCAGTACGGGGGATGACGGAGCCACACCACGCCTTGCTCAAACCATTGAAGTTTAAATGCAAAAAAACAAGACAAAAAAGCAGTTGGGAAGCAGAGAGTCCAGTTTGAAACCGAGCCTGGAGCAACGTTTTGACCATCTCGATATGCATTTTGCAGGCGCGGACATCCCTTACGTGAACTCATCAACCAACCCACCCAGTAAAAGCTTCAAAAAACGTTCAGAACGACAAGTTTTACTCAGCTGTGGGCAAAAGGTGCTAGATAAAAAGCACTGGCGTCAAAATCAAGGGACCGTGCTGAAGTTTAAGGGGTTGTCGAGCTGTATCTGGATTCCCAGTAATTCTGCTGGCCCTCAGGGAAAGCAGCCTGCTACCTGTTGGCAGCATCCCACCCTTCAGGGCAGTACAAAAATAAAAGGCTGCCATGTGCAAGAGGCAAATGCAGCCTGAATTCTATCTGCTGTAGCTTCATCGTCATCATTTTAGATTTAAACTTCAATTGTTTCAAATCCTACTTATCCTGATCACAGCAGCCATTCCACCTTCGCAATTCTGCAGCTTGCAAGCTGGTCAGTCAGAGAAAGGGTGCATTGAGTTACATGCAGTGAATTAGAAAACAGGGCGATGAGATCACTAAAAAGCCAAGGTCTCGGGTCAGCTGAGGGGAAGAGATGTCCAAGCGACAAGAGGACACCTCCACAGTGAAAGCCAGATCCAATTAACGCATGCAGCATCTGTCAGGTTAAAAATCAGCAATGCAGAGCACTGAAAGACAAGCAGCCCGACACTCTTCACTTGCAGGTGCAAAACAGGAACATTGCCAGACTTAAAAGAGCCTTTTCTCAAATTAAATCCCCCTCAAGTTTCTAGTTTTACTGTTGTGTTATCCACAGAGGGATTTCAGTTGAAGGACTCGAGAAACAAATACTTAGCTCAATTACACCCAAAAAACTTTAGTGCACAGTGTTACACATCCCAACTTCAGCTGAAAGAATCCTGGTTGAATTTGTCATTTTAAGAACAGTTCCCATTAAAAAAAACCACCAGAGAACATAGTTGTCTTGATGAGGTTAGAAGTACTACTTTAGAAACCAAATTTGATCAAAATACCTTCCTTTTTGCTCTGAGAGTACATGTGCTTTTTTGGATGCCAGCCTGTAGGAGCCGTCAATATTTTGCACCATTTCACACCCACCCCGCAGAACTTGCTCCGCTGTACAAGGACTTTAATCCTATTAACCGTGTTAAGGCACTCGAAGGATTACAGAAGTCATGCATGCAAACCCCCATCGGTTTTTATCTGGTATTTGCATCATTTTTTCAGCCACGTGAAAAGCACGAGGGACGTGAGGGATTCTGGAGAGGCTCTCTTGCAGCTGCAACTGGTGTAAAAGCAAAGACTGAGGCAAGAAGCAGCAACAGCCCCATGCAGAAGTGAGGTATTAAAGAAGGTGAGGAAAGCACAGCATCACTGTTAGCACAGAAGTTCAAAGTCAAACAACAGGCTCTGTACTTGGAGTGGCAGAGGCAGCCATGGTGAAGGAAGGCACATACAAGTGGACAGAAGTTACTGTAGAATAAAGAAGTCTGCACATAAAATACATACGGAGTGAGAAGGGGAGAGAACAGAGAACTACGGAGATCACTCCTACCAAATCAGCTTAAGCTGCGGGTCTCAGGGCACTTAAAAGGTTGGTAAAGCACATTTTTCTTATGTGACAAGGAAGGAAATCCAGGGAGCCCACGACACCGCCAGACTCGAGGGTCTCAGCCTGCCCCACGGCACGAGGGGGGCTGGTGCCAAGTTTTTGCAGGATGAGTAGATAACCCCAGCCCCCCTCGAGCAGCAGGCATCTGCCAAAGAGCCATGGGGAGTACGCGCTGCTCGTGCCACGCTAGCCCTGCCTAGGACTGTCCCCTGCTCATGCCTCCCTGGCACAGAGGCTGTATCCCTCAAGGATGCTTTAAAGCTCACGGCAACTCCCAACACCTGCCTGACGGCTCAGAAATGGAAAAAGAAGATCCTTTAATAACATAATTGTTGGAGACTTCCCCCATCCTTGCTGCAATTTAGTGTAATTTTCCTTCAGCAGAGGGTGAAATCCCCAGGCTTCCCTTCTGCAGAGACCACCAGGTGGTAAACTGCCCTGAACCAAACAGCAAGTCTCTCTCCATCACAAACACGGTACTGGAAACTCCCGCTACTGCCTAAGTCTTTACCGCTTCCATTTTGGGAGAGGTTTAAGCAGCCAAAAATACTAAGAGCCAGCGCAGGCAAGGAAGGGAGTTTGCCTCCGCATCACCTCTCCAAGCACAAACCAGAGCGAAGCCTGAACAATGAGCGTGAGCGCTCAGACATACATATTTATCGGGACAGAAAAAGAAAATTCCTTTCCAGCAGCCAGAAGGCAAACGGGTTCAAATTTCAAAACTCTTAGAAAAATAGAGCACTCGACAGGGCCCGGGGGCTGCATTCTTGCGGGAATCCTGGCACCCCTCCCTCCAATTCCCTGTTGGGAGTGAGAAGCTGAGCTCGTCCGACGCCCGCCTACAGACCGCAAAGGGGGAACACAGGCAGAAAGGTCTCTGCTTTCATATGGGCTTCCCTGATTTTTTTCAAGCCCCAGTAACTAGATATGCCATAGCCCTCGTGCTCCTCACCCACTGAAAATGGAACAGCAGCAGCTCCTCCGAAGTACATCTGCCTGCACCCTCTTCCCAACACACCGTAAGAGGCCTTTGACTGAAGACTTGGTTGGAATAAAGGAAAGTTTTCTAACTTTCTAACCTGCAAAGGTTTGAACGGTCGAATCGACTGCCGAGGGAGGCTGTAGAGCTGCCTCTCCTCCAGTTTTTTGAGAAACCGCCAGACAAACACTGGTCAGGAATGGTTTAAGTGGACTTGATCCGGCCTCAGGGCTGGGGAAAGAGGCTACGTGACTCTTCGGTTCGATCCAACCTGTTCCCAAGAGTCCTTTGTAGGATTTTTGTCAGCGCGCACATGTCTAAGGGGGGCTCGTCCTATTAAAAAGCTGCTGTATTGCTGGTCCCAAAGCAGAGAACAGGGATGTCCTGCTGGCAGGCACTCCACAGAGTTTCAGTTCAAGGCAGACCAAAATGAAAAAGAAAAAAAATCTTAAGTAAAATCCACACTTCACCAGGAGGTGACACCCAAGGCACATCCCAAGCTCGGGCACAAAGCCGGCCAGAAGAGTCTGCCCAGGCGGTTCTGTCGTTTCCTTCCCTCTTGTTGCAGCACAGGATTCCCGTTGCCATCCCACACGGCACTGCCCGGAGCACAGTCAGGATGAACAGACCTCCTTCCTTTCGACAGGTGCCCAACGATGCCAAACACTTCAGAAAAACCAACGATCCCCATATGTCCAACAAGCTTTCGGGAGCTCTGCGGGTGGGTTTGCTGCCCGGGTTCATTTGCAGGCTCCAGATGGTCGGCTTCCACTTTTCTCAGCAGCCCATTGAGATTTATAGCACTTTAAACCCTATCTGCATGATCCATTTGCTTCCAATTAAAAAAGACAAAGGTAGTTTGTGCAGCGCACGAATCCGAGCTGTGTGACAGCTTCTTCTCCTTTGTCTCTGCTCAACTTGTTGGTTCGTTAATAGAAATTAAATAACCGAATTCTAGATAGCAGGAGTTACTGCTCCAGCTCTTAACTTTGCTCCTCCCGTTTGCTTTTCACAAGTCCTTCAGGTCTGTACCAGGCAAACTGCAGGGACCTGCTACTGAACAAGAGCTGTGGAAAAGGAAGGGGTATAAAGAGCTCTTAACTACTACTTTTAGGAGAGCAGGAAGCTTCTGGCTTTATTTCTTCCTCAACAGGATAATTAAATTGCAGTCCAGCCTCACACAAATGCTATCCCCATCTTCTAAATATCCCAAAACGTTTGGAAAGTTGAAATACTTTGCTTCAATCACTTCTGTATGACATTCCATGCCCCACGGGAGCTGAGAAGCTGGAAGCACCAAGTAAACAAGGACTCTTAAACTCCACACCTGGACTTGTAGTGGTTCTCCCACCTGTGGCCAGGCTACTGCGAAAACACCAGGGTTTGCAGGACACGCTCTTCACCACACTTGGTCAGAAACCGGTGGAAAACCGGTCAGAACTTGTGATGAACCTAACAGACTGTGTGTAAATCATCTCTCTCTCCTTAAAACCAAGGCAAAGATTCCAAACCCACCAGCTTTGTTCTCGTGAGCACTACAGCCATCTGGGAAACTGAACCGAGAGTTTACAATAATGCACTTGTCAAAAATCTAAAATCCAAATTAGAATACTTTAAAAATAAAAATCTGCAAGGAAGCGAGATCACTGGTATTTCATCCTGATACTCCTTCTTCGTTCAACATTTTAATGCTGGAGTGTGTAAGATCTTACTCTGTCATTGACAGCGCTTTAGAAAGCTCCTTTCAGGCGACTGAACTGCTCGACTACGGTGCTTCTACACGAGATGTTTGTTGCTGTAAAACTCCCATCTAGGTTTTTGCAAAAATGATCAATACGGACGAGCTCCATGTAAATATATTTCTGCTTAAAGAGGTATGCACTAGGGTATTTCCTGAAACAGAAGTCTGCAAAACCAAACATAATTCCCAGCGGTTCACAAGCTCCGGAGCTTTGAATTTGTGTTTTCAACTTGCTGCAGCTCAAGCAGGGTGAAAGTTTAAACTCTGAGAGACAGAAATCTGCCATGGATGGCTGGATCCAAGCTAACTGGCTGGAAGCAGCTGTGGTGTGGTGGTTTACAGCAGCAGCAGCTCACGATAAATCAGCAGACTGTTATGCCATTGCTGGCCTGCAGCTTCACTCTAAATAAAAATGAAAACCGGTGTCTGAGAAAACACCACCGGGAACTGTATCAGCTTCCTCAATTGCTCAGCTTCAGTGCATCACAAATGTTAACGTCACGCCTTTTCGCAGCTCAGGAACGACTAAAAGCAAGAGAGAGGAGCAAAATAGGCAAGAAAACGGGAAGAGAAGACCAGGGCTGAAGGGTTCGACAACACAACAGGCTTCACATCAAAGAAGAGAGACTGATGAATAAGTAGGACATGAAGGACTTGGGAAGGGAGGCATGAACATTACTGCCTGCCCTTCTCCTCACCACCACCAAAAGAATTAAGTGTCCATTCAAACGACAAATACAGGATTATGCGTTTTGAAGGAGAAAAGGCACAAGAATTCACTCCAAACAGCCCACAGAGAAAATGCATCCATGTTTAAGCAGGGGGAAAAAAAAAAAAAAAGAAAATCCTTCTCTTTGCATTTATCAGCAGCATTAGCACATGAAACAAAACCTAGAGCATTTTAATCGAAATACCATTACCTTTTGGAAGTCATCCAGTCAAATCAAGCAAACTGACCATCACCATGAGTCCTACAAGGCTAAGCAAGGAAGGAGCCCCCGGGAAAGTAAGGAAAAGCTTCCCTTAAATTACGTTTCTATAACTGCTTTGAAGAAAGAAACCCACAGTAAGTAAACGGTCACATTCGACTATTCCCCCAGGCAGCTGCAAAGGGAACAGGTATTACTGCAACTGGATGACATTGCACCTGGAAGCACGCGAGTGCAGCTTGGAGTAATGATGCAGTGAAATGCTGACAGCACAGTACACACCTTGGCATTGATATATGGGTCAAAGGGGCCGTACTTTTTGAGTTCTTTGATCTCAAGAGCATTCTACAAAAAGGAAGAGGAAAAAAAAAAAAATGTGATAATGAAATGGGTGAGATACAGCAACAAAGCAATGGGTGACTCCCCAGGGGTGGAAATGGCAGAACACAGCATCTTGTTCCAGTCAAAGCTATTAACAGCAGAGGCCATTCCAGCTGCCGGTTCCTGTAACCTGAACCACTCCGCAGCGCATCGACAAGACCCCGAACACGAGCAGCACAGGCTACCCGGCTGACTCTTCTCATTTGAAAAGGTTCCTACTAAACAGACATTAATGAAACATTACCTGGAAGGCTTACACTAAGCTTTTAATCTTTTGCAAAGGTTTCCCCTATACCTGTCCTCCTCAGAGCAGAAGGGTTTACACTCGGGGCCCTCCGTCAATTCTTATTAGACTGACTGTGAGCAGCTAACTGTGCTTCTCCAATTTATTTAAGGAGGCCGAATGCCTGCAGCTGTGCCTTTAGATATTATTAACCACTGCCCCAAACTGAAAACCTATCAACAAAAACGTTAAAACACCCACTCTTAGTTATTTCTGCCCAACTGAGGAGTGGTAGTGAAGAGCATCACCACCATATTTTTCATTTCCTGATGCTTTAGAAGGAGCCACTTTGCCTTGGAGCAGCCCGATGCAGCACGTTACCTGTCTTAGATGGAAGAACAGAAAACTTAAGCACAGCACTTTGGCCCCACAAAGCACGGCTGGAAGCAGCACTGGGACTCCAAAGCACAACTCTGAAGAGAGTTCGCTCCTTGGTTTGTTAAAAGTATATGCTGCAGGTCAAAACTCAACAGCAGAAACTCAGTTCCCAGCTGCTCACTTTGACAGATGTTGCTGAACTTGAGCCATGAATACCTGACCTACTTGTGAATTAACTTCTGCATGAATGTACATTTTTAGCCCTGTGGTATTAAGACAGACAAACTTAGTTTGCTCCTCCTGGCTGAACGGAGGAGTTGAGATGTTCCTGCCTCCGGGATGGGACAGTCAAGGGCTACTGTAGCTTTAACCCCGGGATTTGGATCTGTTACTGCACATCTGCCCAAGCTCTCTCAGCCATAAGCAGTTCAGCAACGCTGCTCAGCTGGCCTCAGTAACTAAACCAATTCTTTACCCAAAACTCTTAAATAAAAGAAATATCTGCGTCTCCCAGCAGCAGCATTTCAGAAGTTCCTTGGAATTGTAAGATACCTGCTGACTTCCACATGGAAGCTACACATGAGCCAGCCCTCCAAAGTGGACACAGCAGCTGCTATCTCATACAAACCAATCCCTCTGCATCCTAGACCAAAAACTATCAGCTTCACAAAGGGATCAAATGCAACAGAATTATTATTTTTTCCTTGCCTCATCAAGAAAATAATTCTTTAAGATTAGGGATTTATCTGAGGGCAAGTACGGTTAAAATCATCTTACAACTCACAAATTAGTTAAGTGGAGCAAGTGCTAGAGACAAGCCAGGAGAGTAGCTAAGAGAGCATGGCCAAACAAAGATAAACAGAGCTGCTTTGATTAGTTCCCAAAGAAGGGAGCCAACGTATCCTTTGAGAGAACTAGAAACCTGCTCAGCTATCCAGCAACTGAAAGCAAAAACCTATGGGTTAGTTGTAGAAGCCCAGTATGAAAGCAGGAGACCACTTCCTAGGTGTGGAGTGGTTCTCGTGTTTACATATCTCAGTACTAACATGTGTATCTTACTCATTCAACCACTAACTCTGAACTGGAGGTATTTGCTTTGGGCAGTGCTTCTCTTATCTCAATAGCAAGGGGAACTTTATAACCGTCGCTACTCGTTTGGCAAGGGTCAGGAGTCAGCTGGGGTAGTCTTGCTCCGTCCGAGGGAATCGATTCAAGGATATATCAGAGAAAAATACGCAGACCTGCTCATTCACTTTAGTATGTGAAGGTCCCTGATGGATGAGGAGCTTCACTATGTCTGCATCTCCCTTCCAAGCTGCCAGGTGAAGAGGGTAACAGCCTTTACAGTCTGCTACGTTGGTCAGTGCGTCGTTCCTCAGCAGAACTTCCACCACATCCCTGCAAGAGAAGGAAACGTGAGTCCCTAAGATGCTCGGGCTCCGTTTCACAGCTTACATTCCGCAGCGCTTTACAAAAAGTTAATCTGAATAAAAGTATCTCTGAGATCTTCTTGAAATGTGATTTTAAAGTGTTCCTATTAAACGCTGCCCAAGGGGAAAAAAGCCAAAACAAAACAGAAAGACTGTTGAGATGAGCACGTGATGACAGAACTGAACAGGGACCAAAGTCATCCACAAGCCACTCTGGTGAAAAGTGAATTGCACCAGCAAAATGAATACGAATAAAGATTTTTTTTAACTATTCGATTTCTCAGTAATTTCAGTAGCAATGAACAATACAAGATTTACCACGGTGAAGACTGGAGTTACTTAAAAACGTAATATGCACAGAAGCAAATTTTAAGTGGTGCAGGCACAGCAACACGTTGGACACCGGACAGACTGCAGGGGACTGTTACTGGAGAAGCCACCTTTAACACGTTGCTACATCTTACCCAAACCACTTGTAAATAAAAGGGTGGTGGAAAAAACTTGGGATTTTGCCTTTTTTTTTTTTTTTTTTTTAACGAGGGGAATGATCACCGCAGCAGCCTCTCTAGCTTCACTGCACTGATGTTCTTCACTCGTCCTGAAGATGGTGTGGTGCCGCACCATCGCTGCCGCGTTGGGCCAGGGAATGAATTACACACAAACCATAGCAAATCGCATCCCCTCTGATCAAAGGCATTATAAGATGACTCACTTATGACCATTCAAAGCAGCATGGTGCAGTGGAGTGTATCCAGTACTGTCAACGCAGTTCACATTTGGCCCCCTCCAGATGCTGCAAGACAGAAAACGTACAGGGAACACTTAGGCGTACACCAAACAGACGGGACGGCTGGCAAGGACAAGTTTCAGCAAAGTTCTCACACCAAGTCGGTTATCCAGAAGCAAACCAGCGGCTGGCCAGCTGTGGTTAAGAGCAGAAACACAGAGAACAGAGCGCGGCGTCGAGCACAGGGGTTAGTGTCACAAAGCACGCAGCCGGGGCAGGCGTTCACTACTTGATGCTTCAGCAGACCTTTTTGGGTTTTAAACCAGATTTCCCACGTTCTCCTGCTATTAGACATCTTTCAGCCATACATGTGCTGGCCAAGAAGTATCTTCAGAGAACACGTGTCTATTAAAGTCAACCACAAGCGACAGTAAAGCATTGACCCACCGCTAACTCGCACCCCTCTGGTGAACTTTGATGAGTCTGAGAAACCCTTTTCCCCCCATGGCAGGAGGCACTGGGGGGGGTAAGTCACAGACTGTGGGACACAGACTCTGCTCCTGGTCACCAGTATGATTCCACACTGATTTCTTACTGTCCAAAAATCATTTCCCTCTGACAGCTGCTGGCAGCCTATGTGAAAGAGTAGGTGGTCTCCAGGCACTTCCAAGCAGACTGTTCACTTCCCTCCCTTGTTTCAAAAGTCGAACATCGAGGATTTAGAGATTAACTCTGTAGAGAATTAATCCTCCCTGTACCCCCTGCAAGGTGTCCTATTTAAAACGGTGGAGAAACACAGGTGGAAGAAGCTGCCACAGCTCTTGGGCTTGCTGCTAAAGGAGTTTGGTTTCTGGCACCACTCCCTCCCAGAAAGGCCACGTGAACCCAAATCACAAAGTTCTTATAAGCAAATTGAAGCCGTTCACCCTTCCCGAAGACAGCCCTTCCCGTTAGAACCCGTCGCTCCTTGTACGCAGCCCTGTTTTTAAACTTAATACTTTCAAGAATTACGCTGGATTTATGATAAGCCTTGACAATCATGTTTTTGCTAACACAGTACATTTGCTTGCATTGTTTTCTTTAACGCGGGGTAGAACTTAACAGCACCCTCTAATCCCCTATTTAATTGGTTTAAAATAAAGTCAACTGTTGCTCTTCATGCAGCAGGCCTTTCCTGACCATTTCATTTCCTCCCCAGCATGTAGTTGCTACGAATCATTGTACGAGACAGAGGCAGCCTGAGCAGTAACTAGATTTTCTAAAATAACAGTCATTACTAGAGGGCTCCTAGCCAGAAAAAACTCCATACCACAGTGTATAAAAGCAGTAGGAAAGGCACCAAACCAACAGGAATCTGGTGGGGACCAAGTGGAAATTCAGAAGTAAACGTTAAGCAGCAGGCTCACGCTCAAGCACGATTCAGGTGGGGTTCAGGAGCAGGAGCACGCTCTGAAATGGAAAGTCTCTCCCCTCCAAGCGACTCCTGAGCCGGGAGAGCGTTATAAAAGGCTTTGCAGTCCTGAGACGGACGTGAGCTCTGCTGGAGGAGAGGCAGCTAAGGGGAAACTTCATCCAAAAGGGCAGGGAAATAAGCCACAAAATCCAATTTGCAAAGGCTCAGAAGGCTTACCCAGAGGCATTC